TGGTGGGCTTGCAGCTGAAAAAATCCCGTGAGAGTTAGGGCATGGCCATTTAGTAAAGGAGAGCACTATATAAGCTGCCCTGGAACACAATAAAGGGGACATTCTTGTTTCAAGGATGACCTGTGTCTCTGTCTGTATGTGTGTGTGTGTTTCAATCTCCAGCCCCTTGCCTGACTTGCGAACTGTCCTGTAGTCCAGGTGGGGTGCTATAAGTGGAAGCCCTGACGAGATCAGAAACTAGGGATCCCTGAGAGATGGCCCTTGGGGATGGTGAGGGTGTACCGAAGATGGGTATGTGTATGTGCGTTTTGTATATCCCCAGACCCTTGTCCGATAGCGGTTCCAGGTGGTGCAGGTGCCATAGGAGGCACCACTGGGATCAGGAGCTAGAGACGCTCTGACGGATGTCACCCACCTGCCTGCAATGTGGCTTCCAGGAAGGCTATACTGAAGCTTCCAGAATTGGTCCAGCATGGCTTCTCTGTATTCTGGAACCAAGGTATCTTCTGCAATAGGGTCTCACCATCCCGTTTTTGTGGGCAATCAAGCAGTTCTTAGGTTTTGGGTCAGGGTTTTGCAGTTATAGCATAGGCAGACCATACAGCTCACTAGTGCAATCAATCACCCAGAACTGGTGGGCTTTGCTACTTCTCTTACGCTAACCAGAAAACCTCTTTCTTCAGCCTTTTCCCGTGTTTTTCTCACTAGCTGCAGTTAGACTATCCCTTCTAGAGAGGGATTCTAGTTGGCCTTTCAAGTGACCTTAAAGTATATTTTATGCAAATGAGAATATGAAATATGAGTTTTAAGGGTTCTTGACATTGTGTGTATTGAACTTATAATTTCATACTTGATAGTTATCAGGTTTCCCTAAAAATTAAAAATAGATAATTTGGGGCTGGAGAGACAGTTTAGCAGTTAACAGCACTGGCTGCTCTTCCAGAGGACCAGGGTTCAGTTCCCAGCACCCACATGGTGGCTCACAACTGCCTGTAACTCCAGTTTCAGGGGATCCAGGGCCTTCTGACCATCATAGGCATTGCACGCACGTGGTGCACATACATGCACTTAGGTGCTCACACATACACGTCAAATAAACAGTTTTACACATAAAGCCCTTCTTCCAGCTGACACCACCTCCCAGGCTACAGGAAGAGGGGATGGCCACTAAGAGAGACAGCAGCTGTGGCTTCAGGCACCATGATGAAAACAACGGCATAAACACAGCATTTTGAAATATTGAAGGTGACTCCTGGCGAGGAGGGGCCATATCTGCCAGCACTCCTTTTTTTTTTAGATATTTATTTATTTATTTATTATGTATACAATGTTCTGTCTGTGTGTATGCCCGCAGGCCAGAAGAGGGCACCAGACCTCATTACAAATGGTTGTGAGCCACCATGTGGTTGCTGGGAATTGAACTCAGGACCTTTGGAAGATCAGGCAATGCTCTTAACCACTGAGCCATCTCTCCAGCCCCTTGCCAGCACTCTTGATGGTTCCGGATATTGGGCTGTGGGGTTGGGAGGACTATATTTTGTTCTAAGCCTTGAGAAGTATTTTTTCTGCAATTTTTAGAAAAATTGAAATATATTAAATTCTAGAAATCTCCTCTGTGCTACTTTTTCTTCTCCCCAAGTAAAAGGGTACGGTTTAACCTTTGGGTGCTTCATGGGTCATGTAATTTTTTTTTTCTATTTCTTTTCTGGTGTTCTTGAGCTAAAGCTATTTTGGTGTCCCGGAACTGAGCCCTTGAGTCATCTGGAAACACAGCAACGTGTGTGGCCTCAGGTGTCTGTCGTCCTGGCTCCTTTGGAAGACTTGGGTACTCTTCTGTGAGTTTCCCGGTGCCTACAGTGTCACCAGGTGGAGGAGAGCCCCTCAGCATCACAGGGTGGACTTGGTATTTTGTTGGGAGTGTTGGCAGGTGAACTAGTTATAAAGGCCGTTTAGGCTGAGGGTTTGCATCTGCAGCAGGCTGCCTACTCCACTCCCAAATAGACTTCTGCCACAGAACGCTGGTGCTCGGCAAGTGCCTCTGAACTCCAGTAGAGTTTGCAACTTGTTAGTGTTCTTAACCTTGAACATCAGGAGAAAAGGAAGGTGGGAGGGGTGGAGGGAGGAGGGGGGAGGAAGGAAACTCTTAGATCTGATAGACAATTTTAGCAACATATCAGCGTTCAAAATGGATATATAAAACCCAGCAACTGTTCTATTTACAGTAACAACTGTTATGAGAAAAAAAAATCAGGAAAGCAGTCTTGTTCACAATAGCCTCAATGCAAGCAAAGAGAAAGCAACGGGGGCCAAAAATTATTAGAATCCAGCATATATGTGTGTAAAACTGTAAAAAAGAAATTAAGAGACTGTATTGTAAGACGTAAGTTAGGCTTATGCCTGAAATTCCAGCACTTGGGAGTCTGAGGCCTGCAACGAATCAGAGACTTTCTGCTTGTTGGCTATGGAGAGTGTCCCTGTCTCAAAAACCAAACCAAACAAACAGAAGTGACCAGAAGAAAAGAGGGAGAAGGAGATGCAAACACCGTGCTTCTGACCAGGACCCCAGTGATGGGATCCCACCTGTCACTCCGGCTCCAGGGCATCCAGAGCCCCCTTCTGGCCTGTCAGGGCACCCACACACATGTGGCACATACCATACATGCCCTCACAACCTTGTGACTCGTGCGTCCTTTATGGCTGTGAAGAGTACCCCGGGGCAAAGCCAGGGGCAAGCCCTGTGTAGCTTGTGCAGTAGTCGGGACTCCTGGACCACAGCTGCAGCAGCCACTAGTGTCTGGAGGGTGGAACCAGAGAGAATACTTCCCTGGCAACCTTGCTCAAGCAGTCTGCCCCTTCGGCAACCTTCTAAAATAAAAATCTTTCAAACACATATGCAATTTACTTGGAGGTCTGCGAATTTCTGACACGCACTCAAGGAACCCTTTCTCTTGTCCCAGTTCTCTTGATCATTTTTATTTTCTTCAGGTTTTATTTTATGTGTGTAGGTGCTTTGCCTGCATATATGTAGGTGCACCATGTGTGCGGAGTGCCCACGGGGGCCAGAAGAGGGTGTCAGATCCCCTGGAAGTGGAGTTACAGATGGTTTGAACGGCCATGTGGAGGCTGGGGGTCAGCCTGGCACTCATAGCCAGTGTTGTTAGCCTCTGAGTCATCCCTCTAGACCACTTGACTCTTTTTTTTTTTAATTTTAATTTTATATGTATTGATGTTTTGCCTGCATGTATATCTGTGTGAGGGTGTCAGAATCCCTGGAACTAGAGTTACAGACAGTTGTGAGCTGCCATGTGGGAGCTGGGAACTGAACCCACGTCCTCTGGAAGAGCAGCCACTGCTGTGTGGGTGCAGATGATGGGAAGCGGGCAGAGTTGACTGTAGGGGAGCATAGGGGAGGGAGATGGCAGGAAGTGTGGGGGGTTCCCTGAATGCTATCTCCTCTCTGATCTCCCCAGCCTGGGGCCCTTTCTTGATCAATGACTCTCAGTGGAGCACACGGTCCCTCTCATTGGCTCCTCTTCCATCTCTTCCTCCTGCCTTCTCACTCACCACTCTTAGGCTCAGCCTCCCTCCTCCTCTTCCCCTTCTGCCTCCTCCTCCACTCTCTCATCTTGTCCACAGGACTGTTGAGACAGTCAATGCTCGACTTGGAGCTTCGAAAGGGGCCATCTTTGTGGCTTTCCCTGTTTGGAAATGAGTCTGCCTGCTGGTGATGCTTGGGTTGGGCTTCTTGAGATGCAGGTTCATCAGAGGCAAAGGTCTCTCCAACGCCAAGTCCATCCATGATCAAGCTCCTAGTGGCTATGGCTACTGTGAGAGGTGAGGCCATCTCTGAGCCATTCCCCTCATTGTCTAACAGAGCAAAGAGATGGATTCAGCTTTTAAAAAGGAGAGAAACCAATAGGCCTCACGCTGCTGGCAGACGGCTACCTCTACTTAGGCCTCTGTGGCATTGCCTTGGCTGAAGCCACACTTAGGTGTGAACATCTGGCTTCCTCTATCCAGGGGACATCTTGGTCATCTCTGAGCCCTTGTGACCGCAAGCTGAGATTTACATTGAGATAATAGCACAACCTAGCTCCTCTGGGTGCACAGTTCTCGATGCCCTGCTGTGCCACAGGTGCCACACTGAAGGATGCTGGAGATCTAATCACAGTTGCCCGCCCCCAGGGACCAAGACGAGCCTCTTGCTTTTCATTCTGGCACCTCTAGACTTCAGACAGTGCCAGGAGACAGCGTGAGCACCACAGAAACTGTCCACCATGGGGACAGGGGAGTCTGGAGGCTGAGACCAGGGGCTGCCTGGCTTCAGTGGCATCTGCACTGGAGACTGAGCATGGAGTTAGAAACTGAGTTGATGGAGGGTTATTATAAATTCTTCTTCTCCCCAGTTCTCCCACCTGCAACCTAAATTATTAACATTCTCTGTGGTCCTAGAAATGGATAAAATTGAGGTACCTTGAGAATGTTTCTGAAGCCAGCAACTTAGTACCACTTCCCCTCTGAGCCCTGCACCATACTCCAGTTCACCCTCTCCAGCTCCAGGCCTGCCCTGCTCTCCGTTGGGATGGTAACAGACTAAACCTCTGAAGCTGTCAGCAAGCTCCCAGCTAGATACTTTCCTTTGTAAGAGTTGCTGTGGTCATGGTGTCCCCTCACAGCAATAGAACAGTGATAAAGACAGTTCCCTAGGCTGCTGTTTGTCAGTGTGTTACAGCGTGCTGACAGAAACAAAACCAGGTCAGCGTTAGATGAATCTCGGGAATTGGTGAGTGCCAGAACCTCCCCTTCTCAGTTTCTGTCCAGGCCCCATGAAGGAGGGCACCAGGTACCACCAAGGCCCCATGAAGGAGGGCACCAGGTGCCACCACCAGTAAAGCCCATCATGCTCCACCTCTAAGGTGGGAGACGGAGTCATTTGTCTCGTACACAATGTCATATGTCTCTTGAAAAAGCACCTAAACTACAAATATCCCGCCACTCACCACGTGTTTCCCCATCCAACCTCGACATCTGTGGTCGTATCTTCAATGGACTGGCAATGCCCCTGTAGATGGTGGTTTCTCGGGCCGTGGCTGCAGCGCTTCTGTAATTAACGTGGAAAATTATTTAGGTGACAGAGACTCTCCTAATAGGTCGCTTTTACTGTTGACAACAACTATTTTTTTTTCTCTGTAAGACCTTTTGTTCAATACAGCTTTCTGCCTGAAAATTCCGGTAACTGAATGCTAACAGACTGAAGCGTTATTGTAAGTAGCAGACAGAGAGCCACACTCCAGAGAAAACAGAGTGTGTGTTTCAGAAGAGCAGGAGGATACAGAGTGGGGCACGGCGCACAGCCAACCACCAGTTTCTACCAGCTTGAGACATGCAGAATTCTGAAACACAAAAACGAGGATTATGTGAGACACTTTGAGACAGTAACCTCTGCCTCCAGGGACCAACGCCAGCGGTGGGAGCCATCTGAGGCTGAGCCCACAGTGGGCGGGCAGGTGTCCTGGTGGATGTTTCCCATGTGAGGTTATGAGGGGGGTACTATGTGGCAGTTTGGGCAGAAGTTTACTATAGTTAAGGTTCACTTTATTTAACGCTGAAGAGATCAGTCAGTTACTATAGAGGCTTGCTGCCCTTGCAGAGGACTCAAGCTCAGCTCCCAGTGCTCCTGTTCATAACTGTCTGTAACTCCAGCTCCAGGAGGGCCTATGCCTTCTTCTGGCTCCTGTGTGTACTCTATGTGACATTCACTCTTACATACAAATAGATAAAAATAAATCCCCTTTTAGTAGATTTTATATGTGTATGTGTGCTGTGTGGTATGTGTGTGCATGTGTGTGTGTGGTGTATGTGTATGTGTGTTTTGTGTGTGTTTGTGTGCTGTGCGGTGTATGTGTGCTGTGTGGTATGTGTGGTGTGTGGTACTGTATGTATGTGTGTGGTATATGTGTGTTTTGTGTGTGTGTGTGCTGTGTGGTATGTGTATATATGTGTGTGTGGTTTATGTATATGTGTGTGGGGTGTGTGTTTTGTGTATGTGTATGTGTGTTTGCTAGTTTGAGGGATTGTGTTGAGGTCATAAAAGGGTATCACGTGACTTCTATCATTCTTCACCTCCTCAGAGGCAGGGTCTCTCCCAGAACCTGGAGCTTAGAATTTCTGTAATGGGTTGACACCAGCAAGCCCAGAAATCCTTTTGTTTTTGCTCCTCTTAGAGCTGGGGTTACAAGCCTTTGCAGTAACATCATCTTGTTACATGGGGGCCTCATGATTTCAGAGAGAGAGCACGCTTAACCTGACCCATTTCTCCAACCTGTGGCAGAAGGTCTGTGTCAGCGGCTTCGTGATAGTCAGATGTGTATGAGAGCCCCCTCCACAATCTCATGGCTCTCTCTCTCTCTCTCTCTCTCTCTCTCTCTCTCATTCATTCATTCATTCATTCACTTTTTGCCACCCCTCTTCCCCAGATAGCCCCATTGTTTTGTTTTGCCTTAAAGATTCGTTTTAGCTGGACGATGGTGGCGCACGCCTTTAATCCCAGCACTTGGGATGCATAGGCAGGCGGATCTCTGTGAGTTCGAGACCAGCCTGGTCTACAGAGCTAGTTCCAGGACAGGCTCCAAAGCCACAGAGAAACCCTGTCTCGAAAAACAAACAAACAAACAAAAAAGATTCATTTTATATGGACAGATGCTTTGCCTGCATGTTTATCTGTGCACCACATGTGTGCCTGGTGCAGGAGAAGACCGGAAGAGGGCACCACATCTCCTGGCCTGGAATTAAAGGCAATAGTGAACTGCCATGTGGGTGCTGGGAGCTGAGCCTGGGTCAGCCAGGCTCTAGCTGTTGAGCCATCATCCCTAGCCCTTTATTTTTTTATTTGGATTAGCATAGGCTGCTGCATTTCCATGCTGAGAGCTTTCATCACAGAAAATCCTAGAAGATTTTTCCTAGTGTCATCCATGTCTTTTCTTGATGTTTGCCACACGACAGGCTTTAATGCAGGTTAATGAGAGGGTACCCTGAGCTGTTCTTCAGGAAGTTTCCGTGCTGTCTCAGCCCCAAGGCCAAAGAGATGTGTGATTGTGTGCACATGTTTTTATATTGATGTGCGTGTGGACATGTGTGCACGTGCCCTTGTATTGATGTGCGTGTGGACATGTGTGCACATGCCCTTGTATTGATGTGCGTGTGGACATGTGTGCACGTGCCCTTGTATTGATGTGTGTGTGTGGACATGTGTGCATGTGCCCTTGTATTGATGTGCGTGTGGACATGTGTGCACGTGCCCTTGTATTGATGTGTGTGTGTGGATATGTGTGCACGTGCCCTTGTATCGATGTGCATGTGGACATGTGTGCACGTGCCCTTGTATTGATGTGTGTGGACATATGTCCACGTGCCCTTGTATTGATGTGTGTGTGTGGACATGTGTGCACGTGCCCTTGTATTGATGTGTGTGTGTGGACATGTGTGCACGTGTCCTTGTATTGATGTGTGTGGACATGTGTGCACGTGCCCTTGTATTGATGTGTGTGGACATGTGTGCACGTGCCCTTGTATCGATGTGTGTGGACATGTGTGCACGTGACCTTGTATTGATGTGTGCGTGTGGACATGTGTGCACATGCCCTTGTATTGATGCGTGTGTGGACATGTGTGCATGTGCCCTTGTGTCGATGTGTGTGTGTGGACATGTGTGCACGTGCCCTTGTATTGATGTGTGTGTGTGGACATGTGTGCACGTGCCCTGGTATTGATGTGTGTGTGGACATGTGGACGCGTGTGTGTGGACATGTGGACGCGTGTGTGTGGACATGTGGACGGGTGTGTGTGGAGGCCAGAAGTTGACATTTAGGTGTCCTCCTCAGCAACTTTCCACTCTGTTTGTTGAGAAAGAGGCTTTTTAAAATTTTGTTTTGTTTTAATTTATTATACATACAGTGTTCTGGGGCACCAGATCTCAGTACAGATGGGTGTGAGCCATCATGCGGTTGCTGGGAATTGAATTCAGGTCTTCTAGAAGAGCAGTCAATGCTCTTAACCTCTGAGCCATCTCTCCAGCCTCAGGGAAAGAGGCTTTCACTGAACCTGGAACTTGCTGCTTCTGCCAGAACGTCTGGCTGTGGGACTCCACGGATCCTTCTAGCTCTGCCTCCTCTGCAGGCTGGGGTTGCAGGCAGATGCTCTGTGCTCCTACTTTTATGTGGATTATGGAAATCCAAGCCAGGGTCCCCACACTTGCTGGGCATGCGCTTTGCCTGCTCAACCCTCACCCTAACCTGCTGTGCTATTTGGAGTGATTTACTTCGTTTCTGTGGACTTAACGGAAAGATTCAGAATGAGGGAGTGTGTATGGGAGAGGAGAAAGACACACAGGGAGGTGGCTGAGGTCGCTTCCTTCCCTGTACTGGATGAGAATCATCTGAAATGGGATTTCTTCTTTCCGCATGTGGGGTTAATTATATCTTCCGCGTCTCAGCATCTGGGGGAGAAGAAACAATGGTGCTCTCTCTCATATTCTTCATTCTAAAGTGAAGGACAGAGAACCCTGGGACCAGTGCCGCGAGGCCACCCCAGGCAGAGTCATCCCAACACTGTAGTTCAGCTGAGTTTCTGGGTGACAGATGTGACCTTGGGGAGGCCATTGATGTGGGAGCTATCCATGACTTTGCCTTTATAATCAATTACTTAAAAGTAGAAGTTTGTTTTTAAGGAAAGGCGCTGGACAGATGGCTGAGCAGTTAAGAGTGTGTACCACTCTTGCAGCGGGAGGACCAGGTTCAGTTCCCAGCATCCACACCAGGAGGCCCACGGCTGCCTGAACTGCAGCTTCACGGGGATGTGCTGTCTCCAAGTCACTTGGAGGCATGTTTGCCTACGCGCAGATACACATAAGGAAAAATAAAACAAATGGCCTGGTGTGGCCATTTTAACCCAAGTCTTTAATCTCAGTACTCAGGAGGCAGAGTCAGGCAGACCTCTGTGAGTACTGGGCTAGCTTAGTCTACATAGGTAGTGCTGGGTCAGCCAGGGCTACATAGTAAGACCCTGTCTCATATAAATCTTTACAATCAATGCTATCAACAGATGCTCAAGGACCTTTCCTCTCCTCTCTCCTCTTTTTTTCTCTCTCTCTTTCTTTTCTTTCTTTCTTTCTTTCTTTCTTTCTTTCTTTCTTTCTTTCTAAGGTTTCATGTAGCCCAGGCTAGCCTTTATCTTACTGTGTATCTGAGAAGTGCTGTGGACTCCAAATCTTCCTACCTCCACTTTCCAAGTTCTGAGATCATGTGTGCAGCACCCTCCCCCGAGGTCTCTCTTCCTAAGCTGCCGCCCACCTGTCTGCAGATCAGAATCCTACGGAGTGAACACCGCCCCTCCCCTATGCCAATTCCCAATCTCTGGAATTTGTAGTTGTTACATTATTGGGGGAAAGGTCTTCACAAGCGTGATTCAATCAATGGTCTTGAGATGGGGGTTTACTGTGGGTTGTCTGGATGGTCCCCAAATACAGTCACAGTGCTTACAGGCAAGAAGCAGAGAGAGACTGGCCATAGACACACTGAGAAGCAGACACGAAGATGGGGACCAAGATTGAGGGATGTGACAAAATGTTCAAGGTTGCTAGGTAGCACCTGGAAGGAAGAGGGAAGGACTGCCCCTTTGAGCTTCCCACAAAGCAGCCATCTTGTCCCCAGGACTGTAGAAGGAAAAATAGTGTTTTAGGCCACTGGTAATGTGTCATACCCGCTGAAGGAGACCAACACACAGGGGAGATACGTACATGCTTCTGCTGGGCTAGGGAGGGGACCCAGTTGTCCCCGTCCAGGTGCATCACTGATGAGGCTGACTTTCCGCTGTCGTGACGAGCAGCAGCAGAGAACCCTGAGCTAGCACTGATATTTCCGTATCGAATACGATACTGTCTTAAAGGCTAGGGCTTTCCCCAAGCTTGGTGAGAAGAATTATATAGGTATGAATTCAGGTGTCAGGAGATGCTTCTAAAAGATAAACCCATCATTCAGGAGAGAATTATATTCGTAAGTCACAAAACAGAGGCCAAGAG